TCCTAGACTTTATTCCTAGAGCATGTGGATTGTTTGCATTTTTATCTAATTCTGCCTCATACTTTTTCAAAATAATTAAGAATTCATTATTAGCAGAAAGTCAGTTAAGGCTGGGAGACTGAGAGTTCTAGTCCAGTCCTACCATAACCAGTTGGGTGACCTTGGGACAGTCACTCTTAGCTCTAGGAAGTAAGCAATGGCAAACCCCTCCCATAAACTTTATAAATAAAAGTTTGCAGGGGTGTATCCAGGCAGTTGCCAGGTGGCATAAACTAACACGAAGGCACCTGCACATATTATTAGCAACAAACCGTCCTGCCCTTAAAATCCATTAACACACAAGAGAATTAAAAACATGAATCATTGCTTCACTGGTGAATTGTTAGATCTCTAAAGAAATTTAATCTTTAACAGTGAATTGTTGGACTAAAATCCACACGTGGTTGGAAAAAAATGACAAAAAACCATATAGACTTGAAACCAGAGATATTTTTATTGGGAATTTTACCTGAAATATACAGTAAAGACTTGAAATATCTGATTGTAAATGTATTAACAGCGGCTAGGATTGTATTTGCCAAAAACTGGAAAAATGAGAAAACACCATCACAGGAGGAAAGCATTAAGAAAATATTGGAATGTGCTGAAATGAGTAGATTGACATTTGAAATTAGAGAACAAGAGGATAAACAATTTTATAAAATTTGGGATCTATTCTATCAATGGTTAGACAATAAAATACAGTAATGAAATATGTAGACTATTAGGGGGCGGAGCTGGCGTCGCGACGATACGGCATGCGATCTTGGAGGTCTGAGATCGCTGCCGATATCTTTGCTCCTGGACGGTCCAAGTGGATCTAAACCGTCCCAAAGAGACAGTGAATGTCGCAAAGTCCCTGGTAGATCCAGGAGAAGCTCTTTTTGCCAGTGGCAAAGAGGCAGCCATTAAAGCTGCTGAAGTTGGGACAGCTCCGAAACGGAAGAGAACGAAAGAGAAAGTGTGCTGGTTTGGTGAGAACTTTTCTTTATTTAAAGATTTGAGAGGACACCCTAAGGGAAAGAAAGAATCTGTAAAAGTTTTTTGACAGAAGTGAATAAGCGGCGATTTTAAACAGGAATGTCAAAGTAATATTTTTATTTATTTTTTCTTATTGCTGATGATCCTATATTTTGAAACTGGACTGGTTTTTTCCCCTTTTTTTTAATCTACTCTTTTCTTTCCCCTTTTTGATTTTATAATATATTAAGCCAGAGACTCCCTTTTAGTCTTTTTTTTAAAAAAATATTTTCTTCCTTTTTAAACTAATTCTTATTATACTCTGCCGGAAAAGGAGGGGGAAAGTGAAAGCTGAAGAAACTTTGTAACACTGCCAACTAGAGGCTTGGAAATACTCTACTTTTCCTTTGACCAGACAAAGCTGAGAAAGAACTGAGACTTCTTTTCAAGGACACTGCCTGTTTGATAAGATAGAGGGAAGAGCATGGGAGAGTATTATTGCAGGTGCTCTTCTGGGTTTCTATCAACAGCTGGAGCCTGGTGTTGAAACCTAGGGAAGCAAAGTAAATCACATTATGGCTTCATTAACCAGGTTAATGTGTACAGTCCGTAGGGTAAATTGATATAGTATCTCCTGCCTACTTTCTTATCATCCTGTAATTCTTATCCTTTCTTATTTTTCTAGTATGAAGTACAAACTTCATTTCAACTTAGGTCAACAGTAATGTATTAGGAAAGGAATTTTTTGCTGCAAACACAAGGCATTTCAACTCAAGTGCAAGGTGTGAATTAAAGATAAAAAAGAATACACCTACTAGGATGTAGATTAGAGAATAGGGAATTTATTCAGGAAATATAGCAAACATAGCTTGGGCTATATTTACATTCTACACCCATAATTTCTGCATCTCTGGTTCTGCCCAAAGTAAATCAATTCCAGTACCATTATTTTCAAAACAATTGATTTTAGTTGCAATTCTGTATCGACACTTCTAGAGCAAGTTCATACATGTGAAATGTGCTAAGCCGGATAGCACTGGAAATAACTTGTTCAAATTAATGAGATTAGAGATTAGCAGTTTCCGCTAAACATTGTATTTTGTTACTATCAAAACTGCTGTTTACTTATTCCTTATTCCTCATTCCCCACACAAATAGTTATTTTGTTGCACTTTGTCACATTCTTCCTTCAATAAATTTATGCTGGGGGGTGGTGAGGTGCCATGCCTTTCCCCAGTTTAGAACCACAGCAACCCTATGAGGTAGGCTGAGCAAAGATTTGCCCAAGTAATCCTAATCATAGTGTAGGGATTTGAAATGCCATTTAATTAGTTTGTACTAGTCAGATAATTGTTAGGCAGTTCATTTACTGTTACAAGTTGTTTCTTCCACTGAATTAATTAACCAAACGTTCCAACTTGATTGCTTCATTATTATAAAGTAAAAACCTTCTTTCTTATGATATCTCAATGGTGTCTTAATTAGCCCCTCAGGGAAGCATCTTAACAACATGAAGTACCCTCCATAGAGGAGGACATATGGAATAATATGGATGTCATTTCTCACCTTTGCTGGGTTCGCTAGGATGGCAGAGGAACTGGTGAGTCAATCAGCTAAGATCCAGTATTATACATTCCTTCTAAATTGGTTTCAGAAGCAATAAAGTGGGGTGTGTGTGTGTGGAAAAGCTGGCTGGGTTTACATAAATGTCATATTTGTATATAAGCCATGGCTTTCCTAGTCAGTTTATTAAATAAGCCACAATTGGATGGGTTCACTAACACACTGAGCTATTAATTGTGTCTTAGAAACCACAACGCCCAACACAAATCAAACAAACGACATCATGGATCAGTAATACAATATATGAAACTGACTGATCTCTTAACTGAAGTAGTTAATGAGTTTTAGTCCACGGTAGAAGGAGAAAGGAGGAAAAGATCCTCTCCCAGATACAGTGGTTGGTTATTTCTGCTTAATGTCAGTCAAGGGTCTCCCAGCTTCTCAGATGATCAACTCCGCGAGTAAACATTTGTATCAACAGGGTGGTCTTAATATTTCATCAAATCCCTGTTCAATTAAGCCTTGTTTGGGACCTAAATTTAGAGCAACTAAAAAACTATTTTCTGTATAATTTATGGGACAATCCTTCAGATACTTGCCTGTTAGGCATATCTCCAAGATAACTTCATATTTTCTTTATAATGTTTAGGCATAATTGTTTATACCTCTGCCAGGTGATATACTGCCTCAAAGTATAATAATAGATTCCACAATTCTTGATTCACTTGATTCACTTGATTCCACAATTCACTGACCTGATCCAGCAAGACAGTCCCAGTTATGTATTTAACCAACCAACATTTTGATTAAACACATATTAATATGTTTAGTCGATGCCATCACAACCTCACTTTGTTTATAATGATCTGGTAGTAAAAGGCTATCTTCCTTGCTGGAACTATAGAAAGGACAGTGTATGATTAGCCTGTAACGAGCAAAATCTCTGAACTAATTAACGAACAGAGCAAACTGATACTAATTTGTTTGGTGGTTTTTTTAACCTATCAGAGGTCTGTGGCTTCCTGTGATAGAAGTCAGCTCAAGGTAGAATTGACTAAATAGTTCGTATATATTGGGTCTCCATGCATTCATACCTAAAAAAATGCTTGAGTAGCCAGTGGAACAGTTGCATTGTCCTAAAAAAGTGGGATGTTGAGGGTGTGTTATTAAGAAACCGATGAAACACACCATATGGAAATGATGTTCAAAGTTTCTTTGTGGGTTTAGGAGGAAAGCAATGTGTTGCTTAGACAAAAGTTGGTTGCCTTAACTGTTGAATCCTGTCCTTTGCTCTGGCAGTTATCCTACTTCTTCCTTCTGGGTTTGGTTGCTTATCCCAGTTTCTACTATATCCTGCGTTGGGTCCTGGTGCACATGTGGAGAATGGAATTCTGCTTTGCCGTCTACATAACTGCCAGGTGGGAGGCTCCCTGCAAACCTAGAAGAACCACAGGCTCAAAGACTAGGGGAGAAAACACCCTCACAGCTCTCCCAGGGGTATCCACCCACCCAGCCCGGCCACTTCTACCTATCCCTGTTTTACAAAACCAGCATGCTACAATGCTCACAGTCAGCCATAAGGTGTCACTGCTGATTTAGTTACTTCTTCCTCACAGCCAATTTCTCTTTTACCTATCAAAGGTTCTATCAGGGTCACCTCTTAGCAGGTGGAAGATTATCCTTTAATGCATTGGGAGGGGAATGGGTTAACTGCCCCACAGTCTCTTTTTCCCACCCACCCCTCCACAAATTGAGCTGAGATTATAGGCTTAGCCAAATTTCCAGCGGTCCTGCCAGAGAAGGGAAGAGGCAGAGCTCAAGGAAGTCAGACTTTGGTGTTCCAGGGGTTAAATGATGATGATGCCTGATTAGCTGCCTTGGAAAAGGGAGAGCAATGCTCAAATAGCTTCCAGATGGAAAGAAGCAATGGATTAACTTAGCGGATTCTGCCGTGGGATGTTAAGGACGCCGATATCTGGGTCTCCAGCCTCATCCCTCTGAGATGCCCCAAACCTCCAGCTCAGCCTTCCAATCCTGAATCGGATCCATCCTACCTAGCTTCGCCCCCCTCCCAACTGGCAGGCCCCCCACAATCCTTCTCCACCCATACATAGATCTCATCTTCCGTCTCCCACCATGCCTTGCAAACTGGGCCCTGAGCTTCTTTAGCTGTGATTATTCAACGCTGAGCTGTGCCATCCTGCTCTTCTTTCTGCTGGTCCATCTGCACAGCGCAGTCCACTGTCTCTTTAAGTTGCTCCCGCACTGTTGTTCTGACAGCTGCTCCCCCTCCCTCCCTCCCTCCCTCCTTCCCCGACTGTGTCTCTCTCTGTGTCTGTCACAGCAGCTCTGCTAGGGACCAACCCTCCCGCCCGCCATCCCCCCTTCCCTCTCCATCCCCCCTCGCCCCCTGGGGGACCATGAGCCTTCCTCGTGGACACCCGGAGGGATCCCAGCCCCACTGACCCTCCCCATCCTCCGCTCTGCCCTCCGTCCTCCTCCTCCTCCCCCCATCACCCCAACCCTGCAGCCTGAGCGAGATGTTTCACGCCTTGGTAGCAGGGACCATTGTCTTTCCTGGCCTCTTCCTGTTGTCCAAGAACGGCCTCAAGTGGCTACCGGGCCTGCGATGGGAGGAGGCTGACGCGGTCATCGTCTCAGCCAGGTAACCAGGGATGCAGGAGGGGATGCCAGCAGGGATGTAGCAGTCCAGAGGGTGGGCAGGAAGAAGGGCAGGAAGAAGAAGGCCTCAAGGATGAACTGCTGGGCACCTGGATTTTTGTAGGTTTGTTAGTTTGATGAGGGTGGTTTTAAGGAAAAGGGGGGAGCCGTGGGTCCTGGGGAGGTGGAATGGGAAGGGAGACTGCAGGGGGAGTGGTGTCCTCATCCCTAGCCAGCTTTCCTGGTAGCTTCAAAAGGAGAGGTTAAAGCTGGAAGCCAATTCTTGGACTCATTGGAAATAGAATACAGTGCACTGAGTTTCAAACTCTCTTGGACCTATAAGGAATCTCTATAAATAGAAAAGTGTCCAGGATTTTCTAGAAGAAGCATTGTATTGAAGTCATGAGCTAATTGATGTTCCTAGGATCCCACATTGGGAGTGGGATCATTGTAGGAAAAGCAGCCAACACAATGAGAGCCAAAAGGGTGTCACTGCTACCTCTTGATAACCCAACAGTAGTGATAACTCAATAAAGTCAAGCAGGGTGTTTTGAGCCTGGGATCACCAAATGGGTTATTGGAGTCCCTGTAAGTTTATTATGCTCTGAGTAAAGTATCCACAGCTCTGCACTCCAAAATGGAAATTCTTTGGAGAATAGGAGTCTTTTAGGAGGCTAGATGTTTTGTTGGGGGTATAGTAAGAGATGCTTTAAAAAAAAGTGGCATGCGGTAAAACCCCCAGAGATACCTTCTAAGGTGGGGCAGGGGACACCCAATTGCTCTCATCATGTAGGATGTTTTAAGCATGAAAGCCTGTCTATTGACTGACTTCTGGAATTACTTGAGAATGCAGCAGGGTCAATGGGCAGCTGAACCATTTAGCCATTGGTATTTATCTTCAAATATAACCAGCCAATGGCAGTTGTTATGGGATGGTGAAAGATGCATGGGTTTGAATTAAAGCTGTTGGTCAAGGCTAGCAGAGTTCTGGAGCATTGTAATAGTCTAGGCCGGCTCCTGTGTCAGATTGGGATTGAGAACTACTGTTTTGGCCTCATAACTTCAGACCTAAAATGGAAATAGGGTTTTAGAATCCAAGAGAAGAGGAAGGAGAAACCAGTTACTTAAACTTCTTACCCTTTTCCATTCTCCTATCACAGACTTGTCTCCTCAGTGCAGGCCATTATGGCTTCCACAGTTGGCTACATCATCTCCTCATCCTGCAAGCACATTATCGATGACCAGTAAGTCAGCATTTATGGTGTAATGCCAGGGCAGTACTGTGGTGCAGCAATCTCATTTCTACCCCAACCCCATCTCTACCTTGTTTTCTGAGTGCAGCTCAGCCAGCATCTTGGCAAGGTCACACTACTGAGAAACCTGATACCTGCGCCAGGAGTGGCACCAAATTTAGAACAGGATGACAGTGACATGTTCCAAGCAGATGTACCGCAATGAGTAGGCTGGATCAGGAAGCTGGGCAGAGAGTTTGGGGCCACCAACAGGAGTGCTATGGTCAATAGCAGTGCAGAGTGAAGCACTGGGTTGTGGACCCGGCGAGAGTGTGTTCAGGATGCTGTTCTGAAAAGAGGTGTTTCAGGATTATGGGAGTGGTGGAGGCAAGATGCTTTGCATATAAAGATTGTACCCACCACAAAACTTAGTAGAGGTGTTAGAGTAAGATAAAAGTAGTAGTAGGGCAGAAGCCAAGCCTTGTTGAACAATAAAATGCTGTCCATGGTGCTGGGGGGGGGGAAAAAACCAGTGGGCCTCTGAATTAGTAACTTTACCCTTTCAGCACCATGGACAGCCCCACACAAACTACAGCAAGTCTTCCCATTCCGGTCCTGTACTGTATTCCTAAATCCTCATACAATATAAGGGAGAGTTGATTTCCACAATATGTGCTGGAAATAAGCTCCGGGATCAGATTTGTCAGTCCCTCTGGCTTCTGGGAGGGCTGCCAGACCTCAGTTTCTGCAGAATCCAATTTGGCACTAGGGCAGTTCTGCAGGACAAGAAGGATTGGAAACGCAGCACAAGTCCACACTGGGGAATTCTGAGGACAGAGCAGGGTAGAGATGAAGGGTTTGGGTAAGATATGGCAGGAGGTGTCATTGGATCTATTTCTATCATGTCCTTTCTTGCTTTTTTTTTTTTCCCAAGGATAGTTTAGTTTCTCATTAGTGAATTTAGTTGGGATTAATTCCCTCCCTGGGTGATGTTAGATAGGCGTGTGGGAGCAGCAGAGGGAATTAGACCAAAGGAACAGCTGCTTCCATTGCTGATTTGCATTCTGTGTATGTGTAATTAGGTTTTATTGGGCAGCCAGTGACGAGGAACTCCAGGGCCCTTAGGAGAGGAGGAGGTTAAAACCGAGGGAAGTTGGATTGTTGGGTCCTCTGCCATGAGCTCTGATTGGATGTGCACAGAAGGAGGGAGCTATGAGATAAGACTTCTCTTAAAGATGTGAAAACTGCCTCAGCATTTTTATTTTCACAAAGATATCACAGTGCCCCTTACACAGCAAATCTCTTTCTGGGAAGTAATGTGAGGTTCCCCTGGCAATATTTCAACACTTTTGAAGTATCCTCTTCATTGACCCTCATGCCTAAAAAGCAAGAAATAATGCTTCCTATGTAGGTCTGTCAGCATGGAAATCAAATACTGCTGTATCCATCCTGAAAGCAAACAGCCCATTCCTTCTAAATGTGCTTCAGACCAAATGCCCTATTTTTTCTTAGGTCTGGACCTCACAAGGACGTTTGAGCTTAGCATCCTGCATTGCACTACTTCTTTGGCATTTGGCCTAATCACCTTGCATGGAGCAGAAAGTATCATCAGCAGGAATGTTTGGGAGCGGGAAAGAGATAGCATAGAGAGCTGAGCAAGGGATATGATGGTTAAGGAGTTGGGTCCCATCTATAAATAAACCCTGTTTTATTTACCTCTGTTTCAGCTGCTCTTTAGCATTTTCAGAAATGAGTCCAGATCGGGAAATTCTTTTAAAAACCCTGTATTTTAAGTCATTTTAAGTAGAATGAGTCTAAGTCCAGTGCTCTGAATTTACATGAATCTTGGTGCCTTTTTATAGAGTTGGTGGTTACTAAGCAAAGTTGAAAGCATGGGTCCCAGACAGATGCTAGCAAGCCAAAGCATCCCCGTTCATAAAGGCCAGAGGGAAGTAATATGGTAGGATCCGATAAGTAAGGAGGAATTGCTAATAGTATACCTGTCCTAGGCGCAGCAGTGTCAAGTATCTTAGAAATTAAGGTGTAGGCAAGATAAAAGTGGAGAGAAACCGCATTTGCTCCAGAAGTGGAAGGTTGTGATCAGGATCAGGGAGTGGGGGGGCAGGGGGGGGAGGGGAGAGAGACAGGATGATGTGAGCAAGGCAAAATCTATGTTACCATTGTCCTTGGGAGTGAAGCACATCGGCATGTCATCAATTCCTCATTGATTGTGGCCTTGAGTCTGTTCCATAGGGGTAAAAAGGGTCCTGCTCTTCCATCCCCTTTGCTCGTGGCTCAAGTTATCTGCAGGGATTACTGTGTCTGTTAGCTGCTTATATTCCTTTACCCCTTTTCACCTCCTGCAGGCACTGGCTGACTTCCAGCTACACCCAGTTTGCAGTCCCTTACTTCATCTATGATATCTATGCTATGTTCCTGTGCCATTGGCACAGGTACCAGGTCAAAGGGCACGAGTCAAGATGTGTTGAGACCCAGACGCTGCACACTGCCATACGTGCCTACTTGCACAAGGAATTGCTGATGGTGATTCACCATCTTTTCATGGTGTTGGTTTGCTTCCCTGTGTCTGTGGTGAGTGGGACCGGGGGTGGGTGGGTGGGTGGGTGGGTGGGTGCAACCCGTGTGCACAGATGAGGATGGGAAGGGAAGGGGTGGGCTATTGATCCCTGCAGCAGAAGCTGCCAGTGAGGATGCGGTGCTCTAGAAGATGCTGCCCCACCGGCCCAGGTCTGCCACCTTTATCCCTTTCCCCCTTTCAGCTGTGGCGTCAAGGCAAAGGTGACTTCTTCCTGGGTTGCATGTTGATGGCTGAACTCAGTACCCCTTTTGTCTGCCTGGGGAAGGTACTTATCCTGGTGAGTATCACCTGCAACTCAGCTTCTCTTAGGGGAGCCAGGGCAGAGAGAGGTTCGGATTGGTTTTCACCTTGGAGTACATTACAGGTATCCCCCCTTTGACTAATAACCATAAATAGTCCTCGACTTAACCACAATGGAGCCCAAGCTTTATGTGGCTAAATGAGAAATTTGTCAACGCCCCGTTTTATGACTTTTCTTGCCACATTTGTTAAGTGAATTGTGGCAGTTGCTAAATTAGTAACATGGTTGTTAAGTGAATCCGGCTTCCCCCTTGACTCTGCTTGTTGGGAGCCTTGCAAAAGGGGATCACATGACACCACCCACCCCACCCCCCGGGACACGGCAGCAATCGTAAGTTGTGAATCGGTTGTCCAAGCATCCAAATGTAAATCCACGTGGCCATGAGATTGCTGCCATGGTCTGAAGTGTTAAAAAAAACGGTCATAAGTCACTTTTTTCAGTTATGTTGTGACTTTGAACCGTCCCTAAAGGAACTGTTGTAAGTCGAGGACTACCTGCATTGACTTAGTGACCGTTGAAAGTTATAACCGCACTGAAAAAAATGACTTACAATCATTGCGGCATTCCCCACAGTCACATGATCATAATTCGGGCTCTTGGCAACTGGCATGTACCTACGACAGTTGCCGTGTCCTGGAGTCGCCTGAACGCCCTTCGAAACCTTCCCAGCTGGCTTCCAATAAGTAAGTGGGGGGAACCAGATTCCCTTAATGACTTTAACATTTTCATTCGCTTAACAAACGCAGCGAGTTTTCTTAACAATCAAGGCAAAAAAAAAAGTTGCAAAATGAGATGTGACTCACTTAACAACCCCCCCTTGCTTAGTAACAGAAATCCTGGTCCCAATTGCGGTCGTAAGTCGAGGACTACCTGTATAGGTTTTATATATTGGTTGTTTGGTTTGTTGACATTTTAGATGGTGTTTTCATTTATTAGATGTCCAGAGTTGGTAGGGCAAGATGGGAGACCGTACAGAACTAAAGACATAATGGGAAGGCAGAAGAGTTAGCCAACCTGACCGGAATCTGCCTTTCAGCTCTCTTTTTTCCCTCTCTCCGCAGTACAAGCAGCAGCACACTCTTCTCCACAAGGTGAATGGCATGGCCATGCTAGTCACATTCTTCTTCTGCCGAATCCTGCTCTTTCCATACATGTACTGGGTATATGGGCAGTATGCTGGCTTGCCCTTCTACCGTGTACCCTTCTCCATCCCCGCCGAGTACAACTTGGGATCAGCCATCCTCATGGCTCCCCAGATATACTGGTTTGGCCTCATCTGCCGTGGAGCTTTCCGTGTCTTCCGTGCCCGGGGTACCGCCAAGGAACAAGTATTGCGAAACGGGCACAGGATGGATACCCAGGCACTGGACTAATGGCTCTCTTGCCCCCTCCCTCAGCTGCAAATGGACAAGCCGCCTTTCCCCCCTATGACTTATTTATTGGGGTGATGGGAGGGAGTGGGGAAGCTGGCTCCTAAGCCAAAAGGAAAAACGGGAGGGTCAGGGAAGTGGGGTGGGTATCTCAAAGGAAGTCTTTAGAGGGTATAAAACCAAAGTATTCCTTGGTTTGCTATGTGGAAATTCCTTTGTCTAAATTTGCAATGCTGTCGGTGTTTTGAAATGTCTTATGAGTTGGGTAGGGTTTGAACACAGAGTGTAGTCCTAAACCAAAGGGAATACTGAGGTTATCTATGTTCGGGAGATATTCAGGCCTGTGGGGCATTGATCAAGAATCAATTGGATGTGGGCCTGTAGAGCAAAACCAGATTTCTAATGTATCAGGGCTCTGCCAAGCCGACAAATGCATAGTGGCTGTTGCTTGCTAAGCTATGATTAGTTGATCTAAGATTTTCTGAGCATTGCTAGTCAAGGAGAGACCCACATGGCTTGCATGGGGGGCGATACTGTTACCTGAAAGCAGGGGTTACAAAACTTTGGATAGGAAGATTGAGTCAAATTCTCCCCAATCCTATTTTCTTTAGACTTGCAGAATCTCTATCACATGTAAACAAGATGGAGAAATAATTACTGGGTTTGAATTGCCCTCACTCCAGGCAGCAATAGGGCAAGAGGAGAATCTTATCAGCAGAATTAGTTATATTTGTAGAATAACCAATAAGGAAACACTCTTTTCATTTTTTGGATGCTAGTAAAATAACATGATCTTCAGTATTACAGGAACGTCATCTACCCAGGATATTTAATTCATTCATATGTGGGTGTGGGTGTGGGTGTGATCACACACAGACACACACAGACACACACACACATTTATCCTCTGTAGCAAGATGACCGGAGGGGTGCTGCTTAAAGAACACATCATGCCCCACTCCCCATAGCAATAACCAAGCAGCGGGAAAACTCTCCTCTCGACACCTTCTCCTCTGTTTCAGCACCGAACTCCTTCACTGCTCACTCTTAGATCCCCTCCTCACTTCATAGGGCAGGAATCTAGCTGTACATAAAGAGCAGGGGGGGGGGGGAATGTATTTATAACCCAAGGTCTGCCAAGTATTAAAGGAGCCTTTATCTACTGTCAGCGGAGGGGTTGTGTGTGTCGTTTATTAATTCCAAATCCCCAGCCCTATGTATATTGCTGAACCCTGTATTCGGATCACTCTTCCCCTAAAACCTTTGAGGATCACATAGCTGTCTTTACAACTCTCCCTCTTTAATCTTCTTTTATTTATTTACTTATTTCTATCCCGCCTTTATTGTTTTACAAATGACACAAGGCGACAAACATGTCCACCACACTTTCCTTCTCCTATTTTCCCCACAAGAATATTGTGAGGTGGGTTCAGCTGAGAGCGAGTGACCAGCCCAAAGTCATCCAGCTACCTTTTATGCCTAAAATGGGACTAGAACTCACTGTCTCCTGGTGATTGGCCCAAAGTTACCCAGCCAGCTTTCATGATTAAGGTGGGGCTTGAATTCACAAGTCTACCGCTTTCTAGCCTGATGCATTCTTCCTTCATCAATGAATATCTTGCAAATGCATGCAAATTCAAAGGCCTTTTACTTAACAGGAAGGACGGGGAAAGGAGCAGAAGACAGCCGTTGGCTCAGAAACTCTAGTCCTCTTCTCTCTAGTCGTGTTGTTTACGGAAAAGCCTGAAATGAGGAAGGATGGGAAATCAGATCCTGGAGGAAAATGTGTGGGCACAAAACGTGGCTCTTGAGAGCAACAGGGGAAGGGGATTCAGCCAAGACCCAGCAGATGTGGGCTGGTGCAACACTTACGCTTGGACAATCTGAAAAACAAAGAACAGCAGGATGAGGAAAATGGATCCCACCAGGATGTAGCGTAGCAGCTGAGGGAAGGCGCCTGGAAGAGACAAAGAAAGGGGGCTACTCACGGACCACTAACAGACACTGAGGAAGCCCACTGTTCAGAAACAAGCTAGGATCTAACAGGCTTAGGATCTAACAAGCAGGAGTTCTGTAAAAAAAACAACCCAAAGCAGGGATTTGGAGGCATAATCTATGTGTTACGTCAAGCAAATGATCCTCCCTTGGACTTCTTTTTCTAATAAACAGGTTTAGAAGCCCCAACATGGAGGGGTGGGGGAAGGGAAAAATGAGGGCTGTAAAAAAGGGAGGATACAACACACATGTGGGCGATTTATGCTTCTTTTAGCCCTGTGCTATACTTTTCATGTGTTGCCTGGTTTCAGTTTTTCCAGAGGGGATTCTGGCAATCTCTGGAACAGTGTTTCTCAACCTTAGCAACTTTAAGATGTGTGACTTCAACTCCCATGCTGGCTGGGGAATTCTGGGAGTTGAAGTCCACCCATCTTCAAGCTGTCAAAGTTGAGAAACACTGCCTTAGAGGGAATACAAACTGACGTCTCACTTGGAGCAATAAATTCAGGCTTTTCTCCAATAAACTTATAGACAACTAGGATCTTCTCTTTATCGGAGTCAGGGTAGTCAAACCAGGGTGCCTCATGGGATAAGGACTCCATCGTCTTGTTGGCATCCTCTAGTTTTTCCACAGGTGCTGTGGGCCAAAGAAATAAGAAACACGCCCATCAGATAACACAGGAAAGCATTCCTGATGTCAAAGGGAAGTTACGCTCCCTAAATTAAATTAAATATTACTACTGATCAAGGATAAAGTATCATTCCTCCCTTACTTTTATATCTGTTTCTATATTCTCTCCTTTAATATTTTATAGAAGCTCTTTTAAGCATTCAATACCCATCTGTTGTGTGGTCAATTGTTCCCCCGGTCTTTGTTTAGAAAATGAACTTTTCCCCACTGCAATGCATATGGTCAGGAACTAATGAAAAAGTGCTGGAGTTTATCAAAATACGTTTTTTTCCATATGTGGATGCCGCTACAATTGTAAACTCTAGAAGTATCCCAAGACATTCCAACATCTCTTTTGTAGTTTAAAAAAGCATTAACCACTTTTAAATAGTGTTAATCAACTTTGGTCTGGAACGGAAACACCAGCCTTTTCACACTATGCTGGAGACTCTACCTAAATACAACTCTGAGATAAAAACTGTATCCATGTAAAGTTGTGGAATTGTATTGTGAGCAGATTTTTTTTTCAGATGCACACAGGCTCTAAGAAACTACCTATTATTTTATGCTGAATGGATAAAAGAATGGATTCATTAATAAAATAATAAAATAATAATAATATAATAATATAATAATAATATAATAAATAATATAATATAATAATATAATAATAATATAATAAAATAATAAAATAATAAAATAATTCATTAATAAAATAATCATTAATTCATTAATAAAATAATCAGTATATTGACTTTACATTTATCAGTATATTGACTTTACATTTTTGGAGCCTGGGTTCCTCATACAGTACCCAGATGCCATGTGGATGATTTAGTTCTAGTTTGGTAGGATGAATAATGTGATTATTTTGCCAGACCATAACAGAACAAAATAGGGGTTAGTGTTGTATAAACCCAAACTAAGATTGAAGTTTCCTTTTGGTTACCATAGCTTGTACTAATACCACTCTATAAAGCCTTAGTAAAACCACACCTAGAGTACTGCATCCAGTTTTGGTCATCACATTATAAAAAAGATGTTGAGACTCTAGAAATAGTACAGAGAAGAGCAACCAGGATGATTAGGGGACTGGAGGCTAAAACATACAACAAACGGTTGCAGGAACTGGGCTTGGCTAGTCTAGTAAAGAGAAGAACCAGGGGAGACATGATAGTGGTCTTCCAATATTTGAAGGGCTGCCACAGGGAGGAAGGGGTCAAACTATTTTCTAAAGCTCCTATAGGCCAGACAAGGAATAATGGATGGAAACTGAACAAGGAGAGATTTAACCTGGAAATAAAGAGAAACTTTCTGACAGTGAGAACAATCAACCAATGGAACAGAAGTTGCCCTCGGAAGTTGTGGGAGCTTCATCACTTGAGACTTTCAAGAGGAGATTGGACTGCCATTTGTCAGAAATGGTGTAGGGTCTCCCGCTTGGGTGGAGGGATGGACTAGATGACCTACAAGGTCCCTTCCAACTCTGATTATCTGTTATCTGTCTGCAAAAACATGGGTGATCACTAGATGGTAGCAGAACTGCCCACTATTTTAACCAGCAATGCAGGAACTTAACCAGAGATCTGTTGTGCTTGAATTAAGTATACCAAGGAATAAGTGTAATAGGTAGAATGAAGACAGATAATATTAAATTTTAGATAAGTGGAGAAATTTGGCAGGAGGGACTGGGCTCACCTTCCATTAGTTGATCAAGCCATTTTTCCTTGGAGAGATTTGCAAAATTGTATAAGATGCAGAGAAACAAAGATTGCACTTGGCTTGGCATAATGGCTCAATCTCTCTCTCACACATCTAAACACACATACCTGATGACCTCACAGTGCATGCTTCTCTCCTCACATTCCAGCTGACTTTTCCACCACAACCACCAAGATTCCACCACTCCACCCATCCAAAAAAATACGAATAGCAAAGCAAAGGATGACATGCAAAGAAATATATATTTATTTTATTGTTTGCCCCATCAAAAGATTCCTACATTCTGGGGAAGCACAGTATTATATAGCATATGATCCCCAGACATGTTCTTGTAAGGCACCCATTAAGTAATAATAGAGTGGATTCATCTGGAGTGGTGTCTCCACCACCCCCACCCCAAAAAAATTTCATGTCTTGGGCAGAATCCCCAGTAGACCTCCAGCAGCCGTGAAGAGGTTAACAGGAGAAGAACCATCCGTAATGAGTGTGGACTGGATTCCCAGACCTTGGAGCAATTTGACCTGCAAGGAATAGAAAGCAGAAAGTCACGCATCAAGGGTTTCAAAATCTCAGATGAATATTTCTAATTTGCTGTCATGTTGGGGCATATGAGATGTGTGGCTGCTCCTCCTCTTGTACAGGTAGTCCTGGACTTACAACCATTCATTTAGCAACCGTCTGAAATCACACCGGCACTGACAAAAATGTGACATGACCAGTTTTCACACAATATTTGCAGTATCCCCATGGTCATT